TGAAGACCTAACCTAGTATCATGAATACCCCCCCCCCTCAAAAAAAAAAGAAAGAAAAAAGAAGAAAGTAAAGTCTTAAAGAAAGAAAATTAGCACATGACTGGGCGTGCCGTTCTCCCACAATTTAAGGGACAGTGCCCAGTAGGCTCATCATTCACAGGTCACCATCTCCCAGCCAGTGAAGAATATAGTACCATGAATACCCCCCCCCCTCAAAAAAAAAAAAAAAAAAAAAGAAAAAAGGAAAAAAAAGAAGAAGAAAGAAGTAAAATCTTAAAATAAAATAAAATTTGCACATGACTGGGCGTGCCGTGCCGTTCTCCCACAGTTTAAGGAACAGTGCCCAGTAGGCTCATCATTCACAGGTCACCATCTCCCAGCCAGTGAAGACCTAACCTATTACCATAAATATCAACCCCCCCCCCCACCAAAAAAAAAAAAAAAAAAGAAGAAAAAGTAAAATCTTAAAATGAAAGAAAATTAGCACATGACTGGGCGCGCCGTTCTCCCACAATTTAAGGGACAGTGCCCAGTGGGCTCATCATTCACAGGTCACCATCTCCCAGCCATTGAAAACCTAACCTAGTATCATGAATACCCCCCCCCCCCCCCTCAAAAAAAAAAAGAAAGAAAAAAGAAGAAAGTAAAGTCTTAAAGAAAGAAAATTAGCACATGACTGGGCGTGCCGTTCTCCCACAATTTAAGGGACAGTGCCCAGTAGGCTCATCATTCACAGGTCACCATCTCCCAGCCATTGAAGACCTAACCTAGTACCATGAATACCCCCCCCCCCTCAAAAAAAAAGAAAGAAAAGAAGGAAAGTAAAGTCTTAAAGAAAGAAAATTAGCACATGACTGGGCGTGCCGTTCTCCCACAATTTAAGGGACAGTGCCCAGTAGGCTCATCATTCACAGGTCACCATCTCCCAGCCAGTGAAGACCCAAATAGTACCATGAATACCCTCCCCCCCCCCAAAAAAAAAAGAAGAAGAAGAAAGGAGTAAAATCTTAAAATGAAAGAAAATTAGCACATGACTGGGCGCGCCGTTCTCCCACAATTTAAGGGACAGTGCCCAGTAGGCTCATCATTCACAGGTCACCATCTCCCAGCCATTGAAGACCTAACCTAGTATCATGAATACCCCCCCCCCCCCTCAAAAAAAAAGAGAAAAAAGAAGAAAGTAAAGTCTTAAAAAAGAAAATTAGCACATGACTGGGCGTGCCGTTCTCCCACAATTTAAGGGACAGTGCCCAGTAGGCTCATCATTCACAGGTCACCATCTCCCAGCCAGTGAAGAATATAGTACCATGAATACCCCCCCCCCCTCAAAAAAAAAAAAAAAAAAAAAAAGAAAAAAGGAAAAAAAAAGAAGAAGAAAGAAGTAAAATCTTAAAATAAAATAAAATTTGCACATGACTGGGCGTGCCGTGCCGTTCTCCCACAATTTAAAAAACAGTGCCCAGTAGGCTCATAATTCGCAGGTCACCATCTCTCAGCGAGTGAAGACCTAACCTAGTACCATAAATATCAACCCCCCCAAAAAAAAAAAAGGAAAAAAAAAAGAAGAAAGAAGTAAAATCTTAAAATGAAAGAAAATTAGCACATGACTGGGCGTGCCGTTCTCCCACAATTTAAGGGACAGTGCCCAGTAGGCTCATCATTCACAGATCACCATCTCCCAGCCAGTGAAAGAAAATTAGCACATGACTGGGCGTGCCGTTCTCCCACAATTTAAGGGACAGTGCCCAGTAGGCTCATCATTCACAGGTCACCATCTCCCAGCCAGTGAAGACCTAACCTAGTACCATGAATACCCCCCCCCTCAAAAAAAAGAAAAAAAAAAAGAAAGTAAAATCTTAAAGAAAGAAAATTAGCACATGACTGGGCGTGCCGTTCTCCCACAATTTAAGGGACAGTGCCCAGTATGCTTATTATTCACAGGTCACCATCTGTCAGCCAGTGAAGACCTAACCTAGTACCATGAATACCCAACCCCCCCACCCCCCCCCCCCCAAAAAAAAAAAAAAAAAGGAAAAAAAAAAGAAGAAGAAAGAAGTAAAATCTTAAAATAAAATAAAGTTAGCACATGACTGGGCGTGCTGTTCTCCCATAATTTAAGGGAGAGTGCCCAGTAGGCTCATAATTCACAGGTCACTATCTCCCAGCCATTGAAGACCCAACCTAGCACCATAAATACCACCCCCCCCCCAAAAAAAAAAATAAAATAAAAAATGTAATGACAAAAAATGAAAGAAAATAGCACATGACTGGGCGTGCCATTCGCCCACAATTTAAGGGACAGCGCCAAGTAGGCTCATAATTCAACATGTCACCATCTCCCAGCCAGTGAAGACCTAACCTAGCACCATGAATACCCTCCCCCCCCCCAAAAAAAAAAGGGGGAAAAAAAAGAAGAAAGAATTAAAATCTTAAAATAAAAGAAAATTAGCACATGACTGGGCATGCCGTTCTCACATAATTTAAAAGACAGTGCCCAGTAGGCTCACAATTCACAGGTCACCATCTCTCAGCAAGTAAAGACCTAACCTAGTACCATAAATATCAACCCCCCCCCAAAAAAAAAAAAAAAAAAAAAAATGTAATGACTTAAAATGAAAGAAAACTAGCGCATGACTGGGCGTGCCGTTCGCCCACAATTTAAGGGACAGTGACCCCATAGGCTCATTATTCACAGGTCACCATCTTCCAGTCAGTGAAGACCTAATCTAGCACCATGAATACCCCCCCCCCACACACACACACACAAATATAATATCTTAAAATAAAAGAAAACTAACACCTAAACGGGGATGCCTTCCACCTTCAACTAAAGGGACAGTGCCCCGTATGATCATCATTCACAGGTCACCATCTCTCAGCCCCAGTAATTACCTACACCTAACAACATGAATAACCAAAAGAGATTCAATTTAATGTCTCAAATTGAAAGAAAAATAGCAACTGACTGGGCGTGCCGTTTACCTACAACTTAAGGGACAGTGCACCGGAGGCTCATCATTCACAGGTCACCATCTTCTCCCAGCCATTAATTTGCTAACCTAACACTATGAATACTAAAAAAATACAATTTAATGTCTTAAAATGAAAGAAAACTATAGGACCTGACTAGTCGTGCTGTTCACCTACATAGCGTTCCCATCCCTTCTGTTTCATGGTACAGTATTCGAATAACTATATCTACATTTAAAAATAAATTAATGTAAAGAAAAATAAGGGAGGAATCACATTTCCTGCTTTTAATGCGATATGCAATATTATTCCACTAGGTATTCTATATTTAATTTAAATCAGATGTACAGTATTCCATGAACAAAGAATGTTAAATCCTAAATATATATATATATATACAGAGAGAGAGAGAGAGAGGTACAGACAGAGGAGGAGGGGAGGGGGTAAGGGGAGAAGGCAGTCTTGCTTTGAATTTTATGTATCCTATTCAAACAAGCAAATGTAGATTTGATAAGTCATAATCTTAAATAGTGAGCGAGAAAGTGGGAGAAATTGTGAGAGATAGAAAGGGAGAAAGAGGGGAAGAGTGGATGGGTCTTGATTTAGAGCTGATATACATAAAGAAGAAAAATAAAGACCAAGACATAAACAAATAAAAATAAATAGAAAGATAAAATGATACAGAAAGAGGAAAGGATGATATAAAATATCATGAACTGTCTGTATCCGAACAGGTCTTTTCAGAACTTTACTCTTCACTCTTTAACCTTCGTGATCTCCTCACAACCTTCTCAATCTTGATTTTGTTTTTGTCTCAATTTTACGGAATGACCCTTAAAGATTCAATATTGTTAGGATGTAAGGAGCTATTAGAAAATTCTACAATATCGAGAACCATCCCTGCTGCAATGGAGAGAAGGGTAAATCAAAGAGAGCATTGGACAAGATAAACAGCTGTTAAAAAAATACTGAGAATTGTTGGATAATAACAAAAGACTGAAAGAGGGAATCACAACTTTCGTAGATTTTATATACAGTGCAATACTAATTTGTCTACTTTTATTTAAAAAAAGAGTTATAGAGGGAGGGGGATGTATCTATAGGAGATGGGAGGGAGTTAGTATATTCACACATGCAAGTGAGAATTTGATAGGTCATTTTGAAAAGAATAGGGTGTGTTTGAAGGTATTTTTGTCACAAATCTGAAGTAGGGCCTACTGTAATTTATTTAGTGAAGAATTGAGAAGAAAATCAGAAAAAAGTTTATAATATATTTAAAGACATGTAAAAGGAGTCCTATCCTACTAGACGAACAACAAAAACAACCCACAATAAAAGCAATTGTATAAGATTGAAGAGACAAACTGTAAAGATTAGCGGAGAAGGAAAAAGGATAAAAATATTACATTTCACAGAGAGTATAACCAATCCCGTTAGAGACCACACATGGGATTTACTGGGGCCGTATACCTGAAAATAGTGAACACGATATATTTTGTGTCCGATGTCATGCTACTACGTATTATGGTAACTTTGAATAATATACTAAAATCAACAAATTAAAATACTGTCTCATACTCAACTATAAATGGACAACTATTTAACCCAGCCACACATAAAGGTGTGAGGTGACTTAGATTAAGTGATTCCTTTTTTTCTTCAAATTGTAAGATGTCGGGAATATGCACCCCTTTAAAAGATAGGATTGAGAACAATCCGCGACAAAAAGAGAAACAGAATGGGATTTGTTATAAGTGAGTAGAACCTATATATGCATAAATTGGATATAATGTAAAAGAAATTTGAATCAAGTAATTGCAATTAGAAGCTGAGATTTAACTTTTTTGTTTCAATGGACTGGAAAACTTTTATGATCAATAATGCTTCATGATTAAAGTGGTTTTACTGTTTGAAACTTCGCATTTCTAACCCTTTTTATAAAAAGAATGTATTCTATTCAATTGAATCATTTTTTTCATTTTATATTTTTATTCTTAATTTTACTTATATTTTTTAATTTGATATTTTTTAATAGTATTTCATTTTATTAGTTTGAAACCATTTTCGTATAAGATCATTAGTTGTTGGAATCTTCTTTTCTAATTCTTTTGTGCATTTTCTGATATTCCACATGAAAGTACAATCTTTCCACAAGTACCGGTACACATCCTACAAGCCAGTTTGTAATTGCAGTCTAAATTTGTTTTTGGTTTTAAAAAATGTGGACAAAAATACTGGATACATGCTCATGTTCAAATATTCATTTTTATTTCATGCACCATTGATATTTCATGATACACAGGTAAAGTTGTCTCTAAATGGAGATAAAAGACGTTCACGTGACCCCTCCACTTTAAGCATCATGTTGGGTCTCTTCATGTAAAGATATTCAGTGGATATTTCGTGCTAATTACGAACTGGGTAATTGGACAACTCTTGCCAAGTGTGGCTCTTACAACAAGATATTTGAAATATCAGTACAACTGCTTTTATGAGAGGGATGATTGCAAAACCCAATAACTAAGACTTACAAAAGAAGACAACTTCTGAATCCTTTGTTAAAACAATATAATGTATATTTCAAAAAGATTTTCGACCAAATATTCACAAGTTCTCAACTTAGTAACCAACGTGTCAAACTCATATATATATACATGACTCCCATTAGGAGGTATGGGGGTAAACAGATCTGGTGAATAGGAACATATTGTCACAAGGTAGACATTGAAATACCTGCATACCTACGACGTGTGTGCGCGTCCCACGGCGAGGCCTGATCTGTGGAATAAAGAGGTAAACAGAATGCTGTATTAGGCATCTCAAAGTAAATATGATGGGGCAGATACAATCTTAAAACTCGAAGACAAATTATGACATTTTGTTAGGTATAGTATATAGCAAGTTTATGAATTCATTTCAAAATAGATTTATTTCACCTTTCGGCCCTACATTTACTAATTATAAAATAGAGGAAACATAGCAGTTGCATACTCTCCGAAATGATGAGGACATATGCAAACAGAAGCAAACATGAAGACTCACCATGTACTGCTATAATGTTATAAAGAACTAATTACTATTTCAAACATACACTGTATGAAACCTAATAATGAACAGTACACATACCTTCTTGGAAATAATTTACAGGCGGTCAAAGAAAGAGAATGGCCTCCGGCGTCTACCCCGACTGACCACACCCAGTCTTTCTTGACCACGATAGTGCAGCGGGCCTGGTTTGAGTGACCATGCACTACCCGTCTCGGCTTCCTCCCTACTACTCCTATAGCAAGGCGTTTACGTCCCGAGAACCTCAGCAGTGTTCGACCCAGTATCCCCCCTCGGTCTCCCCCCTGCTGCTTCTGCGAATCAGTCTGTAGGAAAGGAGAATGAAGTGAGTTTAAAAAATCATTTATACTAAGGGGGAAGTCCACCCTTAAATTAAGTTGACTGTAATAAAAGCATATATAACAATAAAAATATGAAAGTTATGAATTTTAAAGCTGTCATCAGTGAAAATGTGACATCATGCAAGCTCATCTCCAATTTGCTCTGTAGGCTACAGACAATTTCATGAATTTTCATTTTCTTAGATATTGATGACGGAATAGATACGTTTCATACAGGGGTTGCTTAACACTATACTTGAAATGATAATACTTAGGGTAAATATTTGATTGAAACATTAATTGATTGCACCTTTAAAAATTCATAACTTTCTTATTTTTAATCGGTTTATGCCCAAACTTTCACTGAACTGTTTCTCTCATGTTCTGATTCTAAAAAAATACACTTAATATCATGGTGGGCTTCCCCTTTAATTTCATTATGAGCAAGATGTTTCTGTTTCAAACTTTTTTTAAAATAAATAAAACAGATCATGTTTTCAGATAAATGAATTTTGAAAAACCCCTATATCATTGTGACAAATAACAATCATACTATTTGGAAACCTTGGATGCATCTCAGTTCATTTTGATCCAACTGATCATTAAAAGTTGCTGCTATGTTGTAAAGTTTTGGCTCATTGTCAAGTCTTCAATTAAAAAATTGTGTTTGGTACATTGAATACATTGCATGCTCATCTGTTTAGTTATTTTTTGTTGTGGGGGTAGGAATTGTTAGAATACTTAAAATTAGGAAAGCATATAAAAAAATTAACTTACCCAGGCTACAATCACACATTGCCTCGCCTCGCGGCAATCCGGGCCGACCTCCGCAGGTTCTGGTTTGCCCGATTGGCGGCACGACGTTGCTCTCTCTCCGCGGCGAGTTGAACAGCGGCGGCAGCTGCGATCTCTCGCTCTACCAGACGCGGTGACCTTCGTCTCGGGTGGAGTTGCTCACGCTCCTCCGCCCTCCTACGCTGTTCATCCTGCTGTTGGCGATGAGCAGGAACGACCTCCGCACGACCGTTCTCGCGATGCAACTTGTTGACTGTATAAACCAAACGAAAACATAAATGAGGACATGCTACTTAGTACATGCATGGCATTTCACAGATCACATTCAAATACACGATTCTCCATTTATTCTTGAATATACCCCCTGTCAATGCACCAACGTACACATTCAATGATCCCATATTAAAGGGTAAAGGGGTAGGCTACTTTTCACGCAACAAAGTAAGGCCCGTACATACACAAAAATCTGGCCAGTATTGACTTTACACACCGGAGATAGGGGGTGCTTTCAAAGGGAGGGAACATGCATATATGCTGCCTACCCTAAAATAACACTGAGTGGAGGGGGAGGGGGAGGCGGAGAGGGGCAGTGTAATTAGTTTCAAAATATTTTGAATCAATATACATATGTACATGAATCAATATTTACTCTTCCATTTTTAATATTTTTACCAATGGCAATATGCGGCCCTCGATCCCTGGAAAATTCTGGATCCGCTAATGGTCTGGGCAAATACATGTAGCTCTATATGGTCCACAAGACGCCTTTTTAAAATGTAGATCTAAGTTACATGTGAGAGATTAATTTACTTTGAATAAATGCATACCGTGTTGCGTGCAGTAGAGTTCAACAGCGTTTTCGTCTAGCGAGTGACGTCCACGCCGGCTGCAACGTCTGCCATTCCCATGAAGCCCAATATGTGCAGAGCACTGGACCTCGGCTGGCTGTCTGTAATAAAGGAAACATAAAACAGGACATATAGTCTATTACTACTACTAGATTGCAAATAATAGAATGCGAATATATAAGACAAAAGTGCAGATGTTGCAATTTTGGTAAGACATTCGATAGGGTAATTACAATGAATGACCCAAAACAAATAACTTTCAACTCACTGAAGGGTCAATATCCTGCGTGTATTAAAGGGACTGTATCAGCAGTTTCCATGCGCAGAAGGCCATAATTCGCCGACACCAGACTTGGTGGAAATACCATTAATGGGGGTACAAATCTGCACACAGCAAACCCGTTGGCCAGTCAAGAATCCGGCCCCCCCCTTCTGATTTCTCGGATAATACTCGAGAGTTTTCGGGTAACGGGGAAACCAAAGCATTACATAAGGTCTAATGGTCATAAAACTCAAGGCTAACCCGGGTGATTGACAACACCTGAAGTTGGGTAAACACCCGAACGGTGTCGAATTCTCCATGAGAGCTGACTACTAGTTGGTAAATTCATTTTTAATTTAGAAAATAACTATATACATACTGTCGGTGTTGCCAGCACTCCTCCACTTCATCAACAGGCAGGGGTGCCTTCCTCCTACAACGAGTACCCTCCAGGGTATTCATCACACAGTTCCCGGTGAACTTGTTGCCGTAAAAGACCATTATTACACAAGTGAAATAACAGTGGTTCAAAGCAAGCTAGGCGAACGAAGCAAAAGCTAAGTAAATATCTCAAAACGACTTGTCTAGGACAGAATCTAGCAGAGAATGGCAAATTTCTCGCTTCTCATCTAACACGAAACCTATTGCCATCGCGCGCGCGGTCTCTTTGAATGCATGTGTTAAATTGAAATACATCACGTGATTCGAGCAGACGAACGAATCACATTTAACATTTTCAGTGCATTCACTCATGCAAAGCATGGACCTATTACGGATGGACATTCATCGTTTTCTTAACGAACTCATTGTGATTGTCTCCGTCAATCGGGGGCGGATCAAGGCAGCCCCCGGCAGGGGAGGGGTCCAATTCGTGAGAAAATCGTTGTACCGGTCAGCAATCATTATGACACTAAGCAATACGACGACGACGAATTCAATTACGAAGCAAAAACTAAGTAAAAATCTCCAAGCGACTTGTCTAGGACAGAATCTAGCAGAGACAGGCAGATTTTTAGCTCCTCATCTTACACGAAACCTAAAATTCGATTTGCGCGGGCGGTTTCTGTGAATGCATCACGTGGTTTGAGCGGACGAACGAATCACATTCACCCACAAAGGCATTTAATAATGGCAACGGGTTCCAAAAATATATTGGTGATAACTGTCATGCTATTGAGCCCACCGTGCTAAAAATCTATTGTCATGCTAATATAATGTTGGAATTCCAGCGAACCTCGTACTTTCTATCGTCTGATTTGTAGAGGAATTGCTTGAAGCTATCGTCTTCAGCTGTTGATTGATAGAGCATTATAAGGTTATTCATGTACTGGACATACTATTGTGCTCCTGCATGGGTGATCAGTAAAGTGTGCCCCGTATGACGTGAACGTCTTTCTTTCATTTTGATGGACACGCAACAATAAACCTGCAAACAAAATCGGTGTCAGAGGAGACAGTTAAAGGAAGAAGAAGAAGAAAGTGAGCAAAGTGTGATAAATATTTCTTTTTTGATATCATTAAAATCTTCAAACTATCAGACCGCATAATAGACTTACACGTATTTCCCTTATTTCGTCAATGTGCACAATCTGTTGAATTGGAATGTTGTATTGATTTGCCATGAGACAAACACAGATTCACGCTTCTATAATCCCCCAAACATCACATCACTTGTGTATTATACCATGTGCTGATTCTACCAATAGACCGATTTGTAATTGACACATGGTACGAGTTTAAATGACCCCAATTTTCCAACAGATTTTGAGATTTGAGAATAATCGCTGCTAATGTGATAGCGGTGCGTTATGATTCCCCCTTTTGAAAAGAATACTTTCAATTGTGTAGTTACCATGCATGTCATGGAATTCACTTTTGAATACGTAATTTTCATGACCTCTATCTGTTGTAGATCGTAGGCTATCATCGAAATAACTGCATACAAACATACAAAACAGGCCCCACGAAAAGTTTTAAAAAGTGTGGGGGGGGGGGGCTAAAGTTTTTACGATCAGGTAAGTTCAAGTTCAATTTATTCAAAACCACACAAAACATGATATGATCTTTTACCTAAAAAAGAGACTGGTAATAGTACATTAATCATCATATATTAACTTGATCACATCATAAAATGAATGGTTTTAGGACCCCTTTAGAAGCTAAGCTTGTGCATGAGCGGGGCCCTATATAGTCAACAAAATACATACATTAACAATAAGGTGAAAAAATAGAATGTAACGTAACTGTATATACAAGGGATGAAAATACAAATCTATAGAATGTAGAAAACACACACACGCACACACACATACTTATTATCGAACATTACTTCCTTACCTGGTATCAAAGGCAACTTGAAAGTAACACGTAGGTGTATTATACATAGATTAGTTTTGAAAACTAGCATTAATGGCAAACTAGCTAGGAAATGGAGTTAATATTTCTAAGTCTCAATGGAGGGGGTGCTAGGCTAGATGGAGAGGGTGCTAGGCTGGATGTAGTTAGTGCAAGTATAAATGAAATCATGCTAGGAGATAGATGGAGCTAATATTTCTAAGGCTCAATGGAGGGGGTGCTAGGCAAGTTTAAATGAAATCATGCTAGGAGATATTATGGAGTTAATAATTAATGAGCGAGAACACTAACTGAAGTTCTTTAAAATGAAACATACTAGGTATGGGGCTTGGGTGATCATCACACCATTGTTAGAACAAGATTGTTTGGAACCAGCAACCTTGATAACTTGGCCAGTATGACGTGACATTTCGGTACTTTATAATACATTATATCTGATATATTGGTAAAGAGTAAAGATTGTGAAAACTTTATGTAAAAATTAGTAACATTACAAAATATGCAAGTAGTCAGGAAATCCCTTACACGATCTAGGAGTAAAGATTGTGATAATTCTCTCGCGCTCTAACTCGCCACCTTCCCTCTCTCTCTCTCTCTCTCTCTCTCATTTAATTTTTCACGTCTAGTGACATTCCTAAACACAAGCCTGGTATATAACGAAAACTTGATATTATAGAAGTAGGAGCAGATGTGCCAAAATAACCAAACATCATAATTCGACATGATCGGTATCAGAAGCTCCGAGAGAGATGAAATGAGACCGAGCCTAATTTGCGTCAACTACACTATATGAGATTGGAGGTGGCTTGTGTTCCAAGTATGGTACATTGCTATCTATGCGCATTACATTGATCTACAGAAACGTATACAATGCTCGAGGTGCATGCCGGGAAGGCGTATGAAAGATGACGTAATGGTATCGAAATATAAGAAAGGAAAACAAGTTCAGTTCAAGACAGTTCAAAATAATGCTGGGAAATGGAAATTAAAATGATACCGTTTTAAAAACCAGTTAGATATGGTTTTTGGACAAGAAGCATGAGATAATTCATTGCTCGGCAATCTGGACTGTATTTGAAACAGAGCATCCAATATTCCTGATATTTGATAGTATACTGTCAATAAAAAAATATAACTAAAAAAAATAATAATAATGGACCTCTTTACCCAAGGCTGTGTGTCTTTGTCGAGCACAAAATGATTCTGCTCGGGTATGCAGGCCAGTTGTTATCCCATATTGGGCTTGAATATATAGACTTGAATTGAAAGACCCTTTGTTTCACTTCGCGAAGTTTGGGCGCTTTTTTATGAGGAGTAAAACCTTGCCCATCATTGAATTCATGTTGTAAAGTTGTTTACAGACTGGAAAAGGATAGCCCGCCAGCAAGCTGACGCCCCCTCCAAAGACCCCCCAAAGGGGCTCCCTAACAGTTTTTTTTCCTACACTGCTCCCCCTCACCATAGGCCCATTTTTTTAATCTTTTTTGAGGAATCCAGTGACATATTGTGCTTTGGAACCCTTTCCCATACATCAACAACACCAACAATAATTATTTTATCACACCAACATTGGAAAAAATGATTAAATTTTAATATCTGGCTTTTTGGCTTTAAAATAAAATACACTAAAAAAAAAATTGTAACTGATCTCCCCTACCTTTCTTCTTCCTCTTTTTCGCCCCATTCCCTTCCCTTACTTCTCTCACCCTCTCTCATTTAAGTTTGGTGAGGGAGGCAGGGGCCTTTTGCCCCCTCCCCCCGATCCACACGATGTTGGTAGGATTAATCGCAACTGATCTCTGCTTCTTTTCACCCTTTTCATTTCTTCTACCTCTTTTGTGTTCCATTTTAGCTCTCCTCTTTCCCTTTCCCTTCTTTCTCTCTTTTTTGTTGGCGGGAAGGGGGGGGGGGGCAGAGGCAAAGGCCTCACTCCGCGATCCACATCTTGTTTGCAGGAAAATTGCAACTGATATCCTTTCTTTTCTTTTCTTCTTTTGTTTCTTTCCCTTTCCTTCCTTCTCTCTTGTTTTGCGGGGGGGGGGGGGGAGGCAACAGCATGGGCGGCAAGACCCTTTTTGGTCCCCCCGATCTCCTTCTTTTCCCCTTTTTCATTTTTTCTTCCTTTCCTCCTCTCTCTTCTTTCACTTTTTTTCCTTCCCTCTCTCTCTCTCTCTCTCTCTCTATCTCTCTTTTTGTTTGCTGAGGGGCCAAGGGAGGGCAGGCGAAGGCCTTTCGCCCCCGATCCAAACTGCGTTGTTGGAAAAATGCACAATTGATCTCCCGTAACTTTCTTTTCTTTCCCTTTCCCTTCTCTTCCTTTCTCTCTCTGTTAAGTTTGCTGTAGAAGGGGGGAGGCAAGGGCCATTTGCCGCCCCCGATCCCCAACTTGTTGGCGGGAAAACTGCAACTGATACCCCCCTTTTTTCTTTCCTTCCCTTTATCTCCTCTTTTCCCTTTTTTCTTTCCCTTCTCTTCCTTCTATTTTTCTTTTTGCTGGGGGGGGGGGGGGGGGGCAACAGCCTGGGAGGCAAAGCCCCCCCCCCCCCGATCTCCTTCTTTCATTTCTTCTTCCTTTCCCTTTGTCTCTTCTTAACCTTTCCTTTTTTTAAAATTTCCTTCTTCTCTCTCTCTCTCTCTCTCTCTTGCTGAAAGGGGGGTGGCGAAGGCCTTTCGCCCCGATCTCCTTCTTTTCTCCCTTTTCTTTTCTTCTTCCTCTTCTTACTTTCCCTTACTCTCCGCTTTACCTTCTCTTTCTCTCTCTCTTTCTCTTAAGTTTTTGTTGGCGGTTGGGGGGTCAAGGCCCTCTCGCCCCCCCCCCGCCCCCCTGGATCCACGCCGGGAAGACCTGTAGTCAGGCGCGGATCCAGGATTTCCTATGGGAGGAGGCCCAATTTTTTTTTTTTTTTTGCTCCCGAAAATTTGAAAATCGCGCCTGCCGAAAAGTCGCTCAGTAGGGGGGGGGGGGGGGGGATATGAGTATATAGTATATCCCTGTTTGTTTTGACTATGTATACGTGTGGACTAGAGTACGGACATTCGGTGAGGCAGGCGGACCATTGGTGCGAGACCTCTTCCGCACAGGTTGTCCGTCAGACATTTGAGGCGCGCACAGAATGTCCGACACGGACATTCTGCGCGGATAAAATTCTCACCGATCGTCCGCTCTCGATCGATCTCTAATAGTCGGACGATCGGTGCGGGTTACATTCTATGCGGTCACACCGGTCTGGAGTAAACTGGTATATCGCCCTTTTGCGGCGGTCGTCAGCAGTGGAGCCAGACATA